AAAAAATAAAAAAAAGACTCACTGAAGTAAAAGCTTCTGGCTACTCCACTGTGAGTAACTTCACTAAATTAAAAACAAGCATGTTTTAAACAAATATGCACCATTGAGAGACACACTTTTTTGTAATCAAGGCAAATTGGTTAAATGTTATTTTCCATCTTCTGTGTCATTTGGAGGTTAGGTAAAAACACAATAAACAGTTTACGCTAACTTAACCTATTCTAGATACTACTGAAGAGGATTAGGCCCACTGAAAAAAAAAAGTTAACAGATTTTTCAATTTTATTTCAGTGTAATATTGGAAAAAAAGTCAGAATTCAGACTTTTTTCCCATGTTAAACTGAAATAAAATTCAAAAATCAGTTAACTTTTTTTTTTTTCAGTGGCCCTAATCCTCTTCCGTAACATACTGTAACTATTGAGTCTGTATGTTTTATAACTCAAAAAAAGTATTTGGAATGGACCGACTTTTTGTATCGTATGCTTACTGCATTTTATATATTTATTTTATCTTCATCTTAAATTCACTTAATGTTTTGTTGAATTCTACAACATTTTGTAAAACATGAAATCATGAATAGTACGTAGATCAGTTACTCAGTACTTTAGTAGCCTTTTTATCAAATACCTTCTCTGTGCAGATTTGTACTGATACAAAGATCCAAATAGTTCACAACAAAATCTGAGTTCCGTTGGTATTTGAAAGTCAAATCCAATTCAAACAATCTGAGTGAGAGAAACATACCCAACTTCCACATTCAGGACTTCTCCACATCAATAGAATAACTTATTTACTCATCTACCGGTTTAAACTGTTTTTTGTTTTTTAGCTGATCTGACATTTACTCAACAGCTGACATGTTACTTTTCACTTGTTAAAATATGTTTCTACACTTTTTAATGAAAGAGACACCACATAGAATAGTTTTTCTCTTTGTAATTAAAACAGTGGCCATACGGTAGATGAGCAAAGGAGCGTGAAAGCGTCCATAAGTAGAAAACAGGAACACTATAACCTTAGAGATTACATTACTCTGATTTTCCAGTTATAGGGTTAATGGAAGATATGCTATATAGAAAAAGAAGAAAAGGACTGACTAAAAAACAGCTAACTGTACACTTTAAGCGGCCATGTGTTATTCCTAAACCCCCTTTGTTCACACAGAAAGGTGCATAATAAAAATGTCCTCCAAAAGAAGGATCATTTGAATAGAAATAGTTTGTTAAGAGAGATGAAATTTAAAGAGACATTTCCACTCGGACTTTCAAACCCAAGCTACAATAGATCTAATATCTACCACACTAATAGCTTTTGTTGTGTTTCAAGGCAGCATTTATAAATAGTTGCTTTAAACAGCGCATCAATTCAAGGATATGGCGGCATTTCATACAAGCGCCTAGTTTAATGTAATGCACAAGGAAAAAAAACATATTTAAAATGTTTTTTTACTAAATGTTTGGTTGGAACAATTTCTTTATTATATTTTTATTTAACTTTTAAACAAGATATTTGATCATTTCTAATGATGAAATGGCCAGGAAGCCGGTGTACATCCCACAACTACATTAAAAATGTAAACATGGCACCATTTGAGTCATTGATAGTAAGATGTCTAATTGAGCACAGTGAGCGGAGCATGAAGAGGCACTGAGTGCAAGTCTGTCAGTTAATGCGTCAGTCTGGGTGGTAAATGAACAGAGCAATTTGTTCCCTTCGCTTGGCTTCTGGATGTTAATAAGAGTGGGCTGACTGACAGGCAGAGACGGAGTGAGTCAGCAAGACTCCAAACAAGCAGAGGCTATTGTGATTTAGGAAGCTTTTAAAAATACAAAGGAACCAAGAGCAGCGATGGGAGCCGTTTGAAGAAAATGATGTGAAGATAAACATCTGGACTTTTCTGGGATCTTAAGAATAAACTTTAGACATGAAATAAAATTTAAGTGTGAAAAAACAACTATTACATCATTTCTCTTCAGTGTTGTGGAGATTTTCTTTCACTTTAACAAGTCCTCTCACTTGTAAAGGAGCAAGTTACTCATAAATACCCACATAGCCTGGCTTATTTCATTCTTATCCAGTAAAATCCTTTCATCAGCTTCCAAAGCTGGCTAATCAAAGTATAAGGAACCATGAAAAGCGGCTAATGCCAAAGACTACGGGGAGTTCATGTGTGCATACACCAGGTGTTAATCCGATATCATGTGCTTTCCCCCTCCGATGTCAAGTTATATGGGAAAAAATATCCATCTCACCTCAGGCCGAACGTATGAGACTGCTCGTAGTGGAACAGGGAATGGATCTTCACATCTGAATTCACAGCAACGAGCCTGTCAATCAAATCCTGTGGAGCAAAATGAGAGGGGGTGATGGGGAATGCAGCAGTTTGAGTGCAAAGTGAAAACAGAGAGGAAATGCACAATGGACTAAGATGGAAAACGCACATCCGCCTCAGTGGTACGAGGGTTTAATGGAAGGCCTTTGTGCTTTCAACTCACACCCACAAATGTGTGGGAGAACGTTGAGAGCTGAGTCAAAGTGCAAACATGCCCTCTTATGGTGAGAAAAGGACGTGCATAGAGTCTGGAGAACACTTTCTGGGAACTGCTCACAGGTATGGAAGTTGGCGTCTCTCGCAGGGTGTATTCACTCTTGTTAGCTAAAAGCTGTCGGCCCAGAAGCTCCCACACAGCGAGAGAGGAGGACAGGAGGTTGACCAAGGACAAGAAAGACTGATGAGACACAAACAAGCATGTGGTAAAAATCAAGAGAAAATCACACACCTGAATAAAAAAAAGAAAAATAAAATACTTCAAGACAGTTTCTAACAGAGAATCATCAGATTATAGTTTTAAAAATGTATTAACATCTTCAATATACAGTTTCTACTTAACCTTATTTGCTGCTTAAATAAGTCAATTGTCCCAAAAATATCTAAACAGCTTTTTGAGTGGATAAAGCAGGCTAATGTTAAGGATCTATGATGGCCTTTCCAAAGCTTGTTTCTCTTCTTAAAACTCAAGATCCGTTCCAAACCAGCCAATACACCTGAGTAAAGCTTTTTCTATGCCCAAACAGCAACTCTGCCTAGAGAGTGCTTTCATATTATGAAGCCTAACAGCTACTAAAAGACACACAGCCGAACTCACCGAGGATAATTTCACCACATATTAGTGGGGGTGTTAGCAGATATCTGTGACTGTTTAAATATTCTGTGAATCTATGAGATTTAGAGAAAATCAGCGCTTCATTCAAACGTGTAAAGAAGTCTTATCAAAGCGATAGTAACAGCATGTGGTTTGATCTGTCATGTTTGGATTTAAATCACACAGTATCATGTCTAAAATGCTTGCATGTAAACTTTTTACAGGAACTGCACTTAAGTTTTATGGCGTGTTATTTTAAAGACACTTGTTTTGATAAGTGTTAAGACCGTTAACAGAGTATCACTTGGTTTTAATCTTATTCAACAAAAGGAAAGCTTGTTAAAAAGAAAGAAAAATATCCCAAATTACACACTGCTTCTTTTCAGCAGCTGAATAGAATAAGAGTTAAACCACTGCATGCATTTCTACTCTGTTACATTAACGGAAAAATATATATAAGACAGGTTGTGAAACCAAACCTGCTTTTTTTTGGTCCATTCTATGGTGTTGATAGAGGAAGGGACTTCTGTTTGAGGACTCCCTGTATGTAACCTGGGAGCTGACACACTGATAAAGCAGACTTGAACATTCCCAGTAGCAGGGTTGAGGACACAGTTCACAGTTCACTGACAGTCTGTATTCACTCGGATAGCTTCAGCGAGCGAGATCACTCGGCTCCTGTCAGGCAGCAGCGGTGGCCTCACGCTAGCAGACCCTGAAGCTTCAAATTAAATTTTCAGGCTCTCGTATGAGAATAGAAAGACAAAATTGGTCCAAAGCAAAAAACTAAAACTTCTATCCTAAAACCAGACTTTAAAAGGATTTCACATTCCCAGTATCAAATTCTAAGATTTCTTCAAGAGCTTTTATCAAATTCGGAACATTTGAATTAAAAATATTTACCTCAGAAATTATTGTACTAAAATTTTGATTAGTTCAATATCAATTTTTCTTTTTTTTTAATTTTCATGTTTAACCAAAGCCCTACAGTTTATGATCTTTTACCCCTTGCTCACACTGGCTCCGGTGCGGTTACCGAACCGACAGAGACCGCAACTCCCGCACACCCCCTCAGGATTTCTTTAGGTAATGCCTCAGTTTCAATACATGAACATTTTATATGTGCATTCTTACCTTTAAACTCAGAGATAAGTGAGGTTTTAAACTAGTGTTGCACCGATACCAGTATTGGGCGGGGCCCTGATGCAGCACTAAAATTGTGGTATCTGCGAGTACCAACAAATAGGGCACCGATACCATTTTGAGAGCCAAAAGTTTATAAAAATATTGTCAGCCATTCCAGGTAGGCAATAAAAAGGTCTATTGGATTCACTTTGTATTAGTGGTTTTCCTACTTCACAAAGGTAGGCAGCAGCTTGATAAAGCCATGATGGCAACTATTTTACATCCAAGTAGTATGCAGTTCTTCATATATACACACACATCAATT